GTATCCAAATGATGGGAACATTATGCAGGCTATGGGCCAGGCATCACTGACTACCATAATGCATAATTTGAGCATTAATGTAATTTACATTTTAACACAGGCCCCTGAGTAAACTGATTAGTAGATGCTTATCTCCTAATGTGAAGGGGGTTGTTGCAACAGTGACATATGAGGGGATATAGACAGGTTTACAGCCAGCAAGGTCCGGGCCTTACTCGAGCACGGGGCCGGTGTGTCTGGCACACTCGAAACACTTTCTTCAAAATCAAATGGCTGTCATTCAAGATTGCCCGAGAAACAATTTTGTGTAGCGGTGGGATCCATTGTTGCTTTTTAGCTTCAACTACCTTTTAAGAGATGCTATAGCAATGGCAGGAATCCTTTCCTGTAAAACACAGCAATGCAGGCGCACCGCTCACACGGGTCACTCCATTGGAAAATGAATCTGAAAATAAATCAAGTTTGGAGAGCAATTATTCATCTAGCATTTGGACGTTCAATAAAAGCACATTTTCCTCCATCAAATGTCTTTTATCTGCGTCCCAGCAGACTTCTCTTTTTATGGGACAAATTAGCGCTCGGAAAAGATGGCAGAAGCCCTTTAAAAAAAGTACGGCAAAGTTGCAGTCCCATGATGCAACGCTCCCAGTGGTTACATCTGCTCCACTCTTTCATCTCGCTCTATTGTTAGGTGCGAGCTGTCACATTAGGAGGAGAATTGGTGGCTCTTTCCCACCCCCAAGTCATCCTTTTTCCCCCATTCCAGTATTTGGCAGGGTGGCAAACCCCATACAAAGGCGAGTGTACCGGGAGCATGGAGGGGAGCGCCGTTAAAGGGAAAACAGTTTGGGAATTAAGGTCATTAATTTTCCACTTTCAAGGGCTGCCACACAGACGGAGATAAAGTCAGCATAAATATTCCGCAGAAGTTTCTCCTGTTTTTCTCCTCTCCCCTTTTCTCTCTCTCTCCCTCTCTCTGTTTTCATCGGCAGCCCATTTATCTCCATACTGTCAATTAGAGGCAAAAGCAAAGAACTAATTAGGAACTGTGCAATTTTAATTAGCTGTTTTGATAATTAAACTAATTGGTTCCCTTGTGTTTCTGCAATGTGCGCCGAGCACTTTTTTTGATATCTGGGCTGCAGATTTCCCATCCGTTGGTTAATTAGTCACTTTTGCTTTAAAAAGGAGCCTTTCTTAATAGCCTTAATTTGCAGTTGAAAAGAGAATCTACCATCAATAATTTGTGTAATTGGTAACCGTTTGATTGTAATTTAGAGGCACGGCCGGACAGCTCTGCATGTCTAATTCTTAATGACTGGGATTAAAGTTGGATTAAATGTTTGGGAAGAGGATTCTTTGCCCCCAAATGACACCTAAGCTATTTTTGACTAGTCCCATTTGGAATGAGTAGGTGGACTGCAAATTGCAGTTTCGTGCAATCAGACGTTGAGGAGCATATTCAAGTGGTAAGGCTCTCTAAAGTCATAGGCAGTTTCTTGGATTATATGGAATATGCTCTTGTAACAGGAAGAAGAGCTGAAAAAGGCTCTTTCTGGTTCACTTAAAAGTGAACATGCATTATGCAGCCACTAGGAGGGGCTACATTAACTGATGTCAGAACAGTAAACAAACAACTATTGTCCACTGCTTAAACCTAATATGGTCCTGTGGAACATTAAAATACTGCATTCTAATATTTAAAAAAGTTACTGCATCCATTATAATAGCACAAAATTAAGATCTGAACTGAACTCGCTGAAAGAATGCAGAGGATGTGCTCTGAAAGTAAAAAAAAAAAAAAAACATCCTGGGAAACCAAATAAAATTCTAAGATAATTATCTGCGATGAAGCATCAGTCTCACACATGAAAGAAAACATCTTGAGTACTGCCCATCAAATGGAGGACAACCTTCAACTGGTATTTGAATTCATTTAAGACAATGTAAGCAAGCACCATCTATCATGTGCATCATTTATCTAATTTATCCAGATATCATCACAACAGGCCTCTCAGAGTCTTTCCTCCTAGCAGGACTTTCCATTGAACGCAGTTAGAGAAAAGTACCATGTCTGATATTGGTTTATAATCAACTTAACCATTATGAAATATAGGTGAGGCTTGTGTTCAACCTCTCCCTGACTCCACTGATTGTTTGCCCCAGGATAAATGGGAACCCAACTCGGCTCTATGCTATCTGATTAGGTAGGGTTAATTACTGTGCAGTGTTTTTGAACTGGCTGTATGTGAGCCCTAGCAGTAAATAGATGGGCCTGCTTAATTCCCAATCAGAAATGAATTTTAATTAACTCCGCAACACAAGGCCCACACTCCAGGATGGTTTCCAGTCGCAAATTCAGTATGCCACAGAACAGGGAGGCACTCTAGGCCTCCTAATAATAAAGAAACAATGGATCGCTCCATCACTGACCATCAGTACAGAAGAGAAGCATGATACGTGTCACCGCACTGGTGAAAGTAATTCCTAGCGGGCTTCTTAACAAGCCGGAATATCACAGCCTGATGTTTTCTACTAACGAACCACTGTATAGGCTTACCTTTCGGTCAAAAATGACACTTAAAATATATGATCATAATTTGTGTTCATACTTATTCAGATTAATCCTTCCCAGGTTTTTTTGTAAGAGGTGTCTTAACAGCATATGGTTTCTCTTTTTAAAACACTTAGAGATTGGCAATGTTATTATTTCACCATTTAACTGTCAAGAGGCCTTTTGTAGCTCAGCATTCAACAACAAGGGCTACACTTTCCTTGTTCCCTCAGTTTGTTGTGATTGGATTAATTGGGTGTCATTCACTTCTGCAAGAGGTCAGCAGACATACATTTGTGGTCAAAAGTCATCCATCTATCACACTGCAGAAATGAAAAGTCAGACATGTCAGGCAAGAGAGGCAGAGAGCAAAGGCTCAAACAATGGATTTTAGGGGCAGGGCAATTTCCCAATCTGCTAAGGTTGCTACAGCCTATAGTTTGAATTACACTACGAATGAATGTCTAGGGGGCATAGAAGATTTGCACCCTAATGTCTTATGAGCAGATATGAATTACGATTTCATAATTTATGTCTATTCATCACCTTCAAGGAGATCCAGATCTCAAAGACATTAAGCGAGGCACATTTTCATCTCTCCCTCGACAGGGACGTGCAATAAAAGTAAAGAAAAAACCAGTACACCAGATCACTTGCTAGTTAAACAGAGCACATGTAACCTCTGCATCTCCCCTAATGGTTAATCTCGGGTGGATCTCTGACTTGATTGGTTAAGAGTCTCAGCAGGGCAGGTGAAACCCCACAAATTGCCCACCATGAAACAGTAACACTTTTATCAGCAAAGTAGCAGCTAACAATTATATTACCAGAGCCAAAAGCAGTCTCCTATCTCACTGCTAATCAAAACACAGCCCATCTGTTGTGTTGTTGCTCTCAAAATGACTGTTTATCTGAATATGGAAAGTGAGTCTTCTAGCCGATCACACATATCTATTGGAAATATTATAAACGGCGAGAACGAAGAATGTGAAGAAATTAGATCATGAAAACTGTTCATAATGCTTTCAAAAATGTTTTCACAAGAACACACATACCCCTGTGAGCACTGCACTGCACTGCACTGCACTACACTACACACACACACACACACACACACACACACACTTTCCCTTAGCTGTGCTTTTGTGTTTTGTCAGAATTAATGAGAAAAGCTACCTTGCCCTAGGGGTAATTAGTGTCCTTGGAGTTAAATAAGCTAATACTTAGACACCTCTGGCACAAGCAATTATGTTTGTGTATTGAATAATTGATTCAAAGAGGGGGGAAGGGCTGCTAATCAGATCTGAGCATAATGAATTGATTTAATTAACAGGGGGATCCGTGGCTCTCTGGGAAGCGCGCGCATTTATTCAGTAGCAGGAGCGCGCGGAGCGCATATATTGGGTGAGAAAAGGCAGCGTGAGCATGCTGTTAGGAGTTGTCAGCCTCAGAATTGGATTTCTTGAATATAGTTACAGTTTCGGAGCAAATGAGAACTGGGAGGAACACGTTTCTACTCCGAGAATAGCTTCTTCGCGGCAGCTCAATTTAAACGGGTGTTTAAATTAGATTTGAGTTAGTGTAGTCGTTTCGTTTTCGCATGGAATGCACCGTGGCGTCTCACTTTAGTTTTAGACATCGTTAATTGCAAGCGTGGATATTACTGACGCGCTGCGTACGCGAATACAACTGAGGGGACATCGCTGGGTATCATCTCCGAAAAACATTAAGCAATAGAATAAAAGACACACGTATGTTTATCTACATGGCTTTCCTTCTCTGAACAGCGGAAACCCACACAGACGAGCCTGTGTAATTAAACCTTGCGGCAGCAACGCGGACGATTATTATTTTTGTTGTTGCAAAGCAATTTCTTCTAAGAGACGCGAGCGGCGCGCGCAGAAGTGTGCTGGAGCCGAGAGCGGATCGCCTGGAGCCGGACTCCTCGCTCCTCAGGACGATGGTGTTAGACAAGGAAGAGGGTAAGTGTACGGATGATTGTTAGTGCATTCATTTGCTCCTTACGACTATGAAGAACGCCGGACAGTGAGGAAATGCAGCATTTAGCGTCCATTTCCCCCGCGAACGGCACTTTCATGCTCCAGTTCGTTTGTCATATCAGACGGACGCGTTCGTTCGTCAGGTTTACATGAGGAGGAAAGCGCGTACGCTACTCAAACACTTAAGACATGCTTCTCTGACTGTACCCGCGTATGAAATATAATATTATCGGTTTAAAAGACGCAGGCGGAGCTGAACCAGCGTTGCTATTCACCGCAGTATCAGTTAACGTTAGAGCTCGGGTCAAATCTGTGAAGTTTAGACACCTCTGGCACAAGCAATTATGTTTGTGTATTGAATAATTGATTCAAAGAGGGGGGAAGGGCTGCTAATCAGATCCGAGCATAATGAATTGATTTAATTAACAGGGGAATCCGTGGCTCTCTGGGAAGCGCGCGCATTTATTCAGTAGCAGGAGCGCGCGGAGCGCATATATTGGGTGAGAAAAGGCAGCGTGAGCATGCTGTTAGGAGTTGTCAGCCTCAGAATTGGATTTCTTGAATATAGTTACAGTTTCGGAGCAAATGAGAACTGGGAGGAACACGTTTCTACTCCGAGAATAGCTTCTTCGCGGCAGCTCAATTTAAACGGGTGTTTAAATTAGATTTGAGTTAGTGTAGTCGTTTCGTTTTCGCATGGAATGCACCGTGGCGTCTCACTTTAGTTTTAGACATCGTTAATTGCAAGCGTGGATATTAGGCTACTGACGCGCTGCTGCGTACGCGAATACAACTGAGGGGACATCGCTGCATATTATATCCGAAATACATTAAACAATAGAATAACAGACGCACACGTTTCTCTACATGGCTTTCCGTCTCTGAACAGCGGAAAACCACACAGACGAGCCTGCCTGTGTAATTAAAGCTTGCGGCAGCAACGCGGACGATTATTTTTGTTTGTTGCAAAGCAATTTCTTCTCAGAGACGCGAGCGGCGCGCGCAGAAGTGTGCTGGAGCCGAGAGCGGATCGCCTGGAGCCGGACTCCTCGCTCCTCAGGACGATGGTGTTAGACAAGGAAGAGGGTAAGTGTTCGGATGATTGTTAGTGCATTCATTTGCTCCTTACGACTATGAAGAACGCGGGACGGTGAGGAAATGCAGCATTTAGCGTCCATTTCCCCCGCGAACGGCACTTTCATGCTCCAGTTCGTTTGTCATATCAGACGGACGCGTTCGTTCGTCAGGTTTACATGAGGAGGAAAGCGCGTACGCTACTCAAACACTTAAGACATGCTTCTCTGACTGTACCCGCGTATGAAATATAATATTATCGGTTTAAAAGACGCAGGCGGAGCTGAACCAGCGTTGCTATTCACCGCAGTATCAGTTAACGTTAGAGCTCGGGTCAAATCTGTGAAGTTACGTGGAGCAGCGGCTGCCCTCTCTCACAGGTGAGAGCATTTGAACCTTAACCTTTACTGATAGGTCTAAACGATAACATCTAGATCACCAGTTTAATATAAACGTGTTTAGTTTGTAAATATTTTTGTGTGTTTATAGGCGTATGTGCGATGCACGTCTCTGTATTTACGCTGCACGCTGGTTCCTATGGAAACCATTTATAAACTTTTCTTTCGGAGAAAGTTTTTTTTTTTTGTGATGCTTAATCCCATTTTTGTACTATGTTTCTTTAACGCCGTTGAGAGAGAAAATCCCTACAAAGTGTCTTTGACCTAAAAATGCCTTTCGTGTCATATTTCAGGGAATATTGTCATCACACACACGTTTAGTTTTAGCCAGGGGCCCTTTCCTCTCTAAAATAATGGCTTGCATTTCAGACCCATATTTATATTTGAAAATGGATATTTCATATCTCTTTGAGCCAACCATCCTTTCACTAACCCCATCTAAAAACCAATAAAGGGATTGCCGTAGAAACATAAATTGGTCTGTCTTGCTCAATCTATGTTGCGCTAATGTACCCAGATTAACTCAACTGTAAATTGTCTCCTTTGGATGTCTGTCTTGCTAAAAGTTCCCCATATGATTCATGATTCAGATTGCTTTTAACAGCTATTGGCTAAGCAATATGGTAAATGTACAAGGTGATGCAAATGGCATTAGTAGGAGAGGATGCACAGGAGCATGTAATGCAGTCAATACTACATTAACTACTGATGCCCAATTACAGAAGCAGGGAGAGTGGCTTTTAGGAGCATTAGGACTTACAGAAAAGCTTAGATCACCTGCTGCTCATTGCCTAAAAGCTTCACCCTTTGCTTGCTGGTGCCGACCAACAGCGCTGGCATTTTGGCAGGGATGGGAAGGCAGCTTGGATCTCTCTCTCTCTCTCTCTCGCTCTCGCTCTCGCTCTCGCTCTCTCTCTCTCTCTCGCTCTCTCTCTCTCTCTCTCTCTCTCTCTCTCTCTCTCACACACACACTCTTAACTAACACAAGCACAGGCTATGTTCAGATAAGTCTGATTCTAATAAAAGGCTATAGTCTGACTCTAAATATATCGGTTGAGGTAAAGTATCCTCATAGTTCGGTACATCTTGTACTGAAATCAAAGTGAGGGAAGCTAGTGAATAAGATAAATTGAACTGAGCCTTGTGAAAAAAACATAACCATATGCACAACCCTCATGATCGCTCGCATCATCCATACGCCTCTGTGTAAGCAAACATGAATGGATTGTCGGTACTTATAAACTTGCTGATACATTGCGATTTAGAAAAATGGCCTTCAAGCAAATCATTTTATAATGCAGTTTTGTAGCGATTCTAAAAAATTATAGACACCAGTGTCTATGCTGTATTTGGTTTCCATAACTGAACTTTCAAATGGTCTCACTGTAACTCTGAAATCACGGCATCCTGCAATAGAAGAATTATCCTGTTACCTTCTCGCCAACAGGAAAGTAGGATACAAAGTAGTTTTCACTATTTTACTACACACTAAGCTTGCTTCAGTTTTCTGACCTAAAATTCACCCCGACTTTTTAGGAAGTCTGAAAAATATGTAAGTTTTTCTATGTGAAATAGTGGGTCGTTCATATCTCTGTACTAAGCTCTGGAAATTTAAAGTAGAGCGATGTGGGTCTTGTGTCATAGTTTTGCACGCCCTCGCTATTGTACTACTATTACACAGCCTTCCCAAATTATCAGCCCTTTCACATTTCAGCTTCGCAGTCTTTGTCATCAGCGGTCCTTGCACTGTATTTGATCCTTGCTGTACTGCTTTCAGGCAATGACACAATACCTTGCTCTTGTACTTTCTTACCACGATTTTGAGAGAGTGTGGAAATGTGTTAAGGTACAGAACAAGCACAACTCTTTTCATGACTACCTTTAAATAAAAGAAGCTCTCGGTTGACTTTTAATTCTCTCTGGAGAAATACGCTATTCAGCCATTTTCTTTCCCTTCAAGGTATTTAAAACTATCTGGATTGGGAGGAATAATTGGGTCCTCATTGTGGACTTGTTCAGGATTGATCATTCGCATCGCTGGGCTCTCTAAGAACCTGGAGAAGAGAAAAGAACACCCTTCTATTCTTCATCCTGATGATAAATTCTTAGTTACCGTTCCTCGTTTAATTTACAAGAACTGCGTGCCGACTGACCAATGAAATGTCTTCGTTCCTAACGCGTGCATTTGAAATGCAATGTTTCAAATGAATACTAGACCCCTGATCTGTCTGCTGCTGTAATAAAACCAAGGGCTTCAGGCACCAATTTTATTTTGAAATAATAAGAATTGCTTCATTCTTTACTTGAGTTACCATGGTAATTCGGTCTTGTAGCAATTTTATATTGATTTAGAGAGTGGACAGTAATATTTCTTTTCTGTTATTCCCCTTTCTGTGGGTTGATTTCTAATTTCCACTTGGAGATTACTTTTATACATTCCTTAAGTCTTTTCACTTTTTTCATCCTGCAAGGTAATTTTCTCTCTTGTATTTGCTATTTTCTCAGCTTATTGGCTTGTTCTTACTCTAAATTAAACTTGCCAATTTCAAATATTGAAATTACATCAATGTTTCTGTCGCCCTGGGTCTCTCGCAATATTGCGCCTGGATTCGGGGCCTAATGCTTGTTTCTGCCACTTATATTGCTTCAGCCTGAAGAAATTCCTACTTGATAAACATTTCCTCCAGATGCAATTACAGTTCAATATATCTGCAACTGATGTGTCCTCAACATAGGGAACCGTCATTGCTCTGTGGTCTTAAATTGGCATGCTCTTTTTTTTTTTTTTTTTTTTTTTTTTTTTTTTTTTTTTTTTTTTTTTTTTTTTTTTTGGATGATGACTTTGAATGCATGATGGTCTGACACATTCTGATGAGGTTGAAATGTTAAACATTACAAGGTGATGCATCCCTTTCAACAGTACAAAATTGGAGAGATGGTCGTACAATTTTACCTTAATTTCATGTGGGGTTGTCGCTTAAATCCTGAGGACACAGGACGAGGATGATGAGGAGAATCAAACCGAGCAGTAGGGCTGCACGATAAATCGAAATGGAATCGAGATCGCGATTCGACAGAAGCTGCGATTGTCATGCGTATCTTTCAGTGAAGCACGGTTCTGTGATCAGCAGTAAATCTCCATCCAAAGGCCAGAGGGCGCTCTCGCGCTGAAACTCCAAATAGGCCTCGCAGAAGAAACCCAGAAAATGCCTATCGTTGCAGCTGAATAAACAGAAGATTCAACTGCTTTCATTGATTCAACGTGACTAATAAACACACGACTATGGCAATATACGGTTTATCTGAGTTCTTATTATTATAATTTTCATTAAAATAAAGTATATTTATAATGCAATGCCTTTATCACTTCTTAAATACTATGAAATATGTTGCGTGCCTTATTCTGTGTAAGAAGCCACATCATCTCACAGAAGGATTTATTTCAAACACTCGACTGACGTTATGAAGTGAGTTTGGAGTAAAAACATGTTATTAAATGTGGTATTTTTACATGCTTTCAGATGGAGCAGCTTTTACTTCACCGAGCCGTAGTTCATTGAGAAGCTATGCAAACAGCTGTCATTATCGCAAACGATTTCTTCGATTTCAGAATCGTGCAATAAAATCGTCTGCGATTTTTTTTTGCGTAACTTGTCAGTGAACTACGGCTATGTGTAGTAAATGCTGCTCCATCTGAAAGCACGTGATGATGATTTCCTGCTGATTACAGAACCGGCATTACTATCAAAATGCGCATGACAATCGCATTCAATTAATCGTGCAGCCCTACCGAGCAGAGTCACATTCCGGTAGATCTTATGTGATCGACCTAACGTACAGTTTACCAAACCCATTTCTGTCTCTATCCCAAGGCACATGATCACTATCAAACTTGTGCTTTCGCACATCAGTGACTGCAGATGTATATCATTTCCCATCATTTTACCGCAACTCAAAGGGGACCCGAATAAAGACTAAGGTTCTAGAGAGAGCGAGAGTTAAAGGTACAATGCACCTGGTATACGATGTTCACCAGCTCGATCATATTTACTTCCAGTGTTACATGTGAACACTCTTATTAAATCAGCATCCAATGTCTAAACACTGTCAAACATCAAGGGAGCCGGCTAAGGCTCATGTTTCATCCATATGGTCTGTCATGACCGCGTGTTTCTGTGAATCCTTCTCATTTCTCTGTGTAAAGATGTAGTTTTTGGCAAGTTTTTAAATAATTCCGATAAACATGGGATTTTTGAAAAGCTCCAAGGACATACGGTCCATCACTGAAGCATTGGGAAACCTTTTATAACATCCTCAGACATGCTGCCAGCGAGAGATGAATCGTCATTTTTAGGCTACCTTTTAAAATGTCTCGGAGCAACCTTATCTTTCACCTTGAGTCCTGAGACGAATGCAGACAGGTGCAGCATTCAGTAAAAAAGGAACATGAGCGAGAGAGGCGCAGAAAACGATATCAAAGTGTAGTGTGTGTGTGTGTGTGTGTATAATAGGATGTTTACTCAAATCAGGTCCAGCCAAATTTAGCTTCATCTTAAGGAAAAATATATAGGCTATAATATTCCACTTTTGCTACAATGTCTGTCTGTCTGTCTG